TGCAGAGCTTAAAATATCTTTTTAATATTAAAAAGTTTTGACAAATTGTCAGCTCGTTGAAAGACGGCCCTTTTAAAACCGGTTAGCTTTAATTATCAGTATAGTAAATGGTAAACTCTATATTGCTTTCATTTAACAAAGTCTTAACCGAAGTATTTCTGGTTTGGTTCAATCATCGTACATTTTCCAACCAGCCAATTTTGTGGGGTTGAACAATAATTTTCTGTGGTTAAGTAAAATTCTGTGAAATTCTCTTGCATTTTTCATTTCCAAAGTATTGATGAAAGTCTATAAGTAAATAAAGTAAAATAAAGTATATATATTTTTACATTGTTATATAATATGAGATGGAGTCAATTATTTTATTTTAAATAGATAATGAGTATTATATTAATTGCATATTTGATAAATATTTTAATTTTTGTAATTTCTTCATTTTGTTTATTTACACGTGTATCTTTCTTTATTGCAACTCTGCTTTAGTTTATATAAATAATTGGTTTAATCACTTCATCAATCTACAAATGACATATGGTGACATATGCATAAATATTGCATGTTCAAAAGTTAATTTTTATCGATGAGAACGAACAAACATTTATTTAACAAAAACAAAATTTTGGTATTTTTGATCGTTTCCCATATATTAAAAATATACCTAAGCTGATTAAGTGCACAAAATAAAATTATATGTTTTATTAATATGTAATCTATTTACAAAAAGTATATTTTTAGTGCAGCATGTATTCAAGCAATCTTCAAGTAATTCCAACCACCACTACTGTTTCATAAACCATTCATGTCCCAATACACCAAAAATCCTATTAGTGATTAATCTGTATTTATCACATCAATGTTTTGTGCCACACAACAAAAGCAATTTATGTCAAGTGACGTTATACGATCTGTCAAATTGTCTGCTGTGATATCAAATAATGCACATTTGGATTCTATAAAATGTGCAAAAATAAATACAAAAAAAAATTTTGATTGAAAGTCATATCTCAACTTTGGCTTATTAATCTTTTTTACTTAAGCTTATGTGTGTACAGGATATCGAAAGACTCTTTCGATATAAAAAGTTTCAATGTCAACATATCCTTTATTTATCGATGTAATCCAAATTGGTTCAATTAATTTTAGAAATTAAAATCTTATACGATTTCTTCAGTATATATGTTGGATTTATTGTTGTTATTTCTTATTATTTTTGATATTTATTGTTATTATAGTACAATTTATTTAATTTAATTTTAGATGTTAATTCGTAAATTTAATTATAACTTAAATTGTAAATAATAACATTGAAAATGGTACATAGCTTTATAATTATCAATGTAATTAACAAAATGAACTTATTTTGGAAAATAAGGCACTATCTGATAACTAGAGTGACCCTTGTTAACATATGGTTTTTTCGGCATATCGCTTGATATTCACATTACTGCATTACATTTCATTATTCATTTAGTGAACTATATATGTATAATATATACTTTCCATAAAATGAAACTATGTATTTCTATAATCTACATATGATGACGAATGAAACTTTTATCGGGTAAGAATTATTAACTCTTCGACTTGCATATTTTTAAAAATTAATTGTAAAATGATTTTTTAGGACTCATGTAGAATTATATAGATTTTGGTATAAATTTTCATTGTTGTGTTATTTCTTTATTGTTTGAAGATATAGTATACATAATATATACTTATATTCAAAAATTTCGGCGGACGGCCAAAATTCCATAGCTGTAAGCTTTATATATGGTGAAATTTCCCTAACTCGAAGCCCCCTAAGTTGAATTATTCTACAACTCAAACCGCTATGTACGAACTTTGAATTTTCAACAACTCTTCCTTGTATTTTTTTCTCCATAAGTCGAATACCACTAACTCGAATATTTCCGTAACTCGAAGTAAAAATTCACATAGCTATTTACCACTTCTCTTTAAATTTATTTCCACATCTTGAATTTTTGTCTTTATATTTTTAAATACTTCTGTCAATTACTTTTCTAACTTGCGCGACATTATTGGATTCTAACTTTCGGCGACACTTAAATGGTTAACAACTGCTCTTATTATTGTAAATTAATGCGATTATGGAGTTGTGCTTATTATCAGTGAAATAGTGGACTTTTAATCACATGACTAAATGAAATATGAAATGTTTGACAATCCCGGAAAAATTAATTTAATTATTGAAGTAGAAAAAGGTGATATAGAATTCCTTGTAACAATTTGTCAACGATTTTAAAAAAACTTAAAAAAAAATTTCTGGATGAAGCTATGTTACAATGAATATTTATTGCAAGAGCAAAAAATCTACCTCTGTTGGCTAATATTAATAAAAAAAATGTAAAGCAGTTTCCAGCCACTGCGAATAAAGATGCAATCAAGACAATTTGAACATTTATTTATTCCACAGCAAATGCACTAGATGATATATATATTCCAGTTAAATAATTTGGAAATTTATATAGAAAAAGAACAACAAGTAACCAAGAAGTAGCTTCAAATACTACTATTCACCAGCTAGAAATTGCACAAAGCCAGGCTCTGAAAAGACTTTTCAAAGTTCCATGGTACATTAGGACGAATGACATCCTCAGGGACATCAAGATTGATCCCCTCAAAAAATACATAAAGTATATATAAAGTATATAGAATTGAAATTATTTGCGAAATCTGACAGAGTTACCAACACCGCGTTATTCAATCTCAGAATGGTTACAGGCTCCTCGGGAAGGTATGCAGATCTGAGGTCAATTATTGGTTAGTCTGAAGAAGTGATAAACAATAATCTAGTCAAGGTGCAAAGAGGGGTTTTGAAGAAACCTCGCAGTTAATATAGAGTAAAAGTGCTCAGGTGCACTGACTCAACTAGCCTCAACATAATAATAAATAAACAAAAAGCCAATACATATAATCGAATATTTTAAATAAAAATTATGTGTATATATTCAAATCATTATATACTTTGGAAATTTAAAGTAGATTGGTAAAAAGCATAAAAATGTTACTAAATATTTTATATAAAAAGTATTTGTAGAAAAATCACAAAACAGTGTTTTCTCTATAAATCGAATTTTCCTTAACTCGATCTTTTTTGCCGTCCCGTGGACGATTTGAGTTAGGGGAATCTCACGGTATAAAATATAATTCTTATAAATTTCTATGTTATACAACAAATTTAAAATGAAGTAAAATAAAGCTAAAAATACTTCTACTACTATTTAAAAATTTAATAACAGATACATTGTGACCGAAAAGTTTTCGGGAAATTTTAAATAAAACGCAAAATTCTTAACCTTCATCAATATTTATTTTATCTCCTTCAAAATATGCTCCATTAGAAGCGATACACAAATGCCAACGTTTCTTCCAATCATCAAAACATTTTTTATAGGCGCTTTCCGGTATGGCTTTGAGTTCCCTCTGCGAATTCTGTTTTACGTCTTATATGGATTCAAAACGCGTTCCTCTGAGTGGTAATTTGAGGTTGGGAAACAGGAAAAAGTCACACGGTGCAAGATCAGGTGAATACGGTGGCTGTTCGATGGTATTTATTGAATGTTTGGCCTTAAAATCGTTGATAATGTTGAACAAATTGAGGTGAATCGGAACAAGCCGGGCGTTGACACGTCGCATACACAAATTGTCCACCAAAATCAAACGAGCCATCTCACGACCGATGCCTAGCTCTCGTGCTATCTCTCTAACACTCACATGAGGATTTTGGAACACGATTTCCTTTGCCTTTTCAATGTTTTCGTCGGTGGTAGAGGTCGAAGGTCGTCCAGAACGCGGCATGTCTTCGACGGTCGTACGACCGTCCTGAAAGGCTTTGTACCACTCATAAACTTGAGTTTTCGATAAAACTGATTCCCCATAAGCCTTTTGTAGCATTCGCAAGATTCTGCACACGAAATTTCGTTCGAAACACAAAATTTGATGCAAACTCTTTGTTCAATATTTTTTTCCATTGTTTTTTTCGCAACGCACTACTGAGGTGAACTGGTTTCAACAGCTGCCGTAAACGAACTGTCTGACAGATCGCGCTCATTTTTGGCATAGTGATTGTGGTTAGTGCTGCCAAACTACATAAACTTAAAATATCGAAGAATATACAGCGCGCGAATTTTAAATGAGAATTTCCGGAAACCTTTCGGTCACAATGTA